GATGAACTGACCAGAAACCCCATTCCCCATTTTTCCCACATTATACAGCAGTAATTTTTTTATTATTTATTGATTTATGCACTGTGCCTTTTGAACCCCAGCTACAACAGACTAGGGCAATAAAACTAGTTTTCTATCCCAAACAGACTAAAAACATAGTTTGTTTAGCATCCTGATCTAAATAAATACACTACTACTACTAAAAGGACTCCTACAATAAATCAAATAAAGTAAAAATAGAGATAAATTATATTATTAAAATTACAATTGTTATTATGTTTATATTTTCATGTTAATAATAATAATAATAAAGATACTGCCTTGTATTTCTTAAAATCCAGGCCACTGTTGCAATGCAGTTTCCCAGGAAATTACACAGAAAATAAAGTCAGAATGCTGTTCAAATTATTTAAGAATTTTTGACATGGGCAAACAGGAATGATTGGTCCTTCAGAGTTTTTTCGTGGCCACAGGAGCTTTTTAGCTGTTTTCACACATATTTTGTCCACAAAAAAAAAAAAATCTATCATAAGGCAGCTTCTAAATGTCCCATTGGGGAGGTGTGAGCGACCAAGAAAACGGAGCCTGAAGTTTTATGAAGATGATAATTTCCATGCCAAAATGGTTATTTTATTTCATCCTCTCTTGTGGACTGTAAGGCCAGATGCAAAAAAAAAAAAAAAAAAAGCCCTGGGTACCTGCAGGACAGTTTGTTCTCTTTGAGAGGTCATTTTTCTGTCCTTTTTAGTTAGTTTGAACTTCAGTTTCTGGACCGAAAACAATATTAGACATTGCTTGTTGACAATGTTTTTCAATTTCAAGGGCTGGTTTTCAGGACTTCTCTCTTTCTTACGTGCCTGATGAAGCTGCTCCATTTCTGTAAATGAATTAAAGACTGGAGTAGAGCTATCACTTTGAAAAACATCCTTATCTCCACTAAAGGGAAAACTAAGAAACAGGAGCATTACAGTAAACACATTAATAAAACTGAACGACGACAACCTCTGCCCAAGGCACTACAGCAGCAGTGAGCTCAGGCAGGGGGCTGGGTTTAAAAGACCCACCAGCACAGTTCAGCTCAATCTAAGAAGTTTTCTTGAATACTGACATTTTAGTATGTTATTTTATTGAGAGATGGGCAACCAGTTAAGCAGTTTCAGCTTTCTTTGTGCCCTGTGAGCAGCTAAAACCTTCCCAAAACTGTTTCATACCTTGGTTAGGGCGAGGATGTCGGCTCCTCCCGCGGGCTCTGCTCTCCCGGGGGGCTTCTCTTTACAGGCAGGCTCTAAAAACTGAATGAAACAGCAGCGTAAGGCCCAAGGGAGCAAAGGAAGCACCGATCATTTTAAAAGGGCCGATCATTTTAAACAATGCCCCGGCAGTGACATTTCACGGCTGACCCCAAGCACAGCCAGGCTGCAAACACCCACCCCCGGGGCGAGCACAAGATCCCCACACGGTGCTGAGCAAGAGTCCAGACCGACTTTTATGAGGCCGGGGCGAGCCCCGGTGAGGATTCAAAGGGTGTTCGGGAATTAGGGCGACGGCGCTGAGGGCGATGTCTGAGGGCTGAGAGCGCGGGCTGAGGGCGATGGCGCTGAGGGCGATGGCTGAGGGTGAGGGCGATGGCACTAAGGGTGAGGGCTGAGGGCGATGGCGCTGAGGGTGAGGGCTGAGGGCGATGGCGCTGAGGG